CTCATTTTTTTCTCTTACTTCATTTCAACCACACATTTTTCAATAAAATAATATTACACACAAATTTAAAAATTTTCATAACTTTTCCACCATACATTCTCCCATCAATTACAATTTTAAAAATTTTTATCTTCAAAAAATGGGTGTCAAACACACCCAATATCCTGGAAATGAAGCATCCATCAGCATATTTCAAGAGCTATCCCGCATTGCAACTGAGTGTATGAGATTGTTAATAGGAATCTAGACCTTTTTCTTTTGATAATGGTTGTATATAAGGATCATATAGAGTTGAACACAAGAAGATTATTGGATCAAAATGGTCGATGCCGGAGCGGAGTGGAGCGATGGCATCGGCCTTATAGGTTTAATTCATTGTTAGTTTGCCCCCGCGGTACGGTACAATATGCTAAATATATTGCTCTCAGCTTAGCTTCGTGCAGTGCCCAGAAAATCTGTGAATCTCCCAACTAAGCTATCCCATTGTTGGCAAAATTTGACCATTTTCCTCGTTTTGAAATTTTGGATTGGTTTTAACTGAAAATAGCTAAAACTCTTTATTTTTGGCGTTTTCCATTTTTTTTTTAAATTTTAAACTCGTTTTTTAAAATTCGTTTCCGAAAATAGGTAAATTAACGTGTTTTCAATTTTTAAACTGAAAATAATGTCAAAACAGCAAAGAGGAAAGGCGGTTACCATCTTTGCCCCAAATCTCGACGGGCTGGTCGGGCATTTCTCCATGCCCGTTCGTACGATTCAAGTCTAAAGGTAAAGTTAAGCGCTGCTCTCTTAGTTTTACTTTTCATTTTCCATCGACCGGAGTAAAATTACAGAGCGGAAAAATGGATTCCCTGAATTTCATCTTCATCCTCTTCGTCTCTATCACTCTCTACTCTCCTCCGCAGGTACTGAAAAATTCAATTCGCGTAATTGAAGCACAAGCGCATTCACTTGAAACCCTAAAACCCCATTAACTTTACTGAATTTATACATTGCAGGCTTTTACTTTAGCGCAGTCAGTACAACTCTCCGATCAAACTTCATCGCCATTCTCCGTCGCCCTCGACAATCTCCAGAGTCAAATCAAGTAACATCCTTATAATTTTACGTCTTTTGTTATTTTTAGTATATATAATTCTGCTATATTTGTTAAAACTTGCATTTTTAGATATGTGCTTCCATGTTCTCTCATGAAAAAACTTGGGCTATTTGAGAGTGTTATTTGAAGTATATATATATAGATAGAATGGGTTCAACATGGTACCAGAGCAAAAGCTTCTGGGGGTCATTTAAATGAATTGTACACATGATAGGGTTTGTTCAGAAAAAATGAACCCTGTCTACACATGACTTAAGCTTTTAGACCAATCGGTTGAATAGAGACAAAACATGTTGATTTATTTAAATTGAGTTTTCAGCACGCATGTTTATTGAGTTGAATTGAGCTTTCAGCATGCAGCTTATGTTGTGGTAGAATTCATTTTTTTATCTAGGGCATGATACATGTACATTTTTCATAAATGAAGGGCGGCAAGCCTTGAACCCATTTTGTTTCAATGCTCTAATAGCTGGTTCAACATTTATTTATTTAAATTAGTGATCGACATTTTATACATGTATGCTGTTACAGTGCTTCTATATATTCGTGTATATATGGTGTAATCTTGTACCGTGATTAAAATGTGTCTGTTGCGTCCTTTTTTGGGTATTTTCTTAATTTAGCTATACATTTGAGAACATTGGATTATTGCGGCGTGCGATGACTCATGCATCATATTCAGAAGAGAACAACAAGGCGTTGAGTGTGTTGGGAGGCAGATTGATTGAGGCTTCTGTTGCACTTCAATTGTTAACCAAGAATGTGGATATTTCATCTAAGGAGTTGAGCGGGCGGATAGTGGAGATAGATAATGTCATTACTTCATGTGCTGTGGATGGAACTCACCTTGGGTTGCAGAAGATAGTTAGAGTTTCGTCCAAGACCAGTTCCACGGCTCCTGCTGTGGTATGTGGTGCTTTTCGTGCAATATTTGGGGCAATTGCAGTGGATACTGGGAGTTTAGATGACGCCAGAAGAGTGTTCTGGAAAATTCATGTGGGAGGAGTTGGGAGAGCCGTAGATATGTAGGTAAAATTGTGATATTGCATTAATTAAGCTGTGTAACGTTTTGATATTGCACCCTGTGGCTTATTTTTGTGAATGATGTTGATTGAGCTCATGATTGACTCTTTCAAGTAGAGGTTGAAGAACGGTAGTATGTAATTATATGATCTGTGTTTGTATAGCTGTGCTAACGCTTTGGACATTGTGAATTCTATGCGTGTTTACTATTATGGTTTTAAGAACTGTGGCTCTTAATGAAATGGATTCTCAGAACTCTTGATAAATAGGCTAAATTCTTTTTTTTTTATCTAGACTTATTAGTTGTTTATTTCAATTTTCGATTTTAGCTATATTAAGCCATGTGGACAAAGTGACGGGGGGCAAATCTTTTGCAGTTACTCTGTTACTTTGTTCTAGCTGACTAGCCTTGATTTGTTTGCTGTAAATGGTTAAATGCTATAAGCTTTCTTCGAAAAAATTATACTCCATCCGTCCCATAAAGATAGTCATCTTTTCCTTTTTCATCTATTGCAAATTAGAGTGTAGTTAATATATTAGTTTCCTAAGTATGGCCCCCTATTTAATGTGCTTTGTTATCACAAATATAAACCATTCAATTATTCAATTGTAGTTAGAACAACAAAAACTAAAAAAAAAAAAAAAATTATTTCATCTTTCATGTCTTTTTTTTTATTTGTATTTGTATTGAATGACTTTGGAATATTTATTATTTTGATTCTTGCATTAAATAATAACTAGTACCAATAATAGTTTAATAACCTTGAGTATTGTATGCATAATTTAATTATCTTGAATATTGATTACATTAATATAGAGGTATATTAGGCAAAATGATACTCCCTCCACCTTATAAAAATATTTCTTTTTTCATTTGTCTTAAATTATAGTCTTGTTTCTTATTTTAGAGTATAGTTAATATATTAGTTTCTTAATATGCCATATTTAATGTATTCTGTTATTACAAATATAAATGATTCTATTATTTAATTGTAGTTGGAACAATAAATTAAAAACGTAAAATCATGTTATCTTTAATTTGTATATTTGTATTTGTATTGGATGACTTTGGAATGTTAATTACTTTGATTCTTGAATTAAACAATGATGTGTACTAATTACCTTGAATATTACATGCATAATTTAATGACCTTGAATATTGATTGCACTAATGTAGTGGGTATGTTAGGAAAAATGATAATAAAATTTGTTATTTCAATTATATTAATTAAATTTTCTTAATATGTATGAAAAAAATAAATAAGATTATTTTGAGGGATAAAGGGGGCAATAAAATTCATTATTTCAACTATATTAACTAATTGTTTTTGTGTATTTGTTTTAGTTCATGTCTGTCTTGGGTCGTGTATTTGTTTTAGTT